TTAAAGGAGATCACCCAAAAGAACGTCATAGAATTTATCCGTGACCACAACATTTATAGATTTGGAATTCCACAAACTTTAATGGTAGATCACGGAACATCTTTAAATGGGGATCAAGTGATTAAATTCTTGGGCGAGTTTGGAGTTAAATTAGTGAACTCCACACCATATTACACTCAATCCAACGGACAAGTAGAATCTTCTAATAAGATTCTAAAAAATATCATAAGGAAAATGATAGATGAAAATGCCAGAAATTGGCACAAATGTCTAAACAAGGCCTTATAGGCTTATAGGACGTCGCCTCGGTCAAGTATGAAAATTACTCCTTTCCAACTCACTTATGGACAAGAGGCCGTTTTGCCTATGGAAATCAACGTGCAATCGATCAGAGTGTGTTTGCAACATAAGTTAAGTGATGACAAGTATACCGAATCACTAGTTCAAAACTTATTAGAGTTGGACGAAGTAAAGTTGGACGTCCTAGATAGATTGCAAGTTCAAAAACAAAGAATGGCTAAATTTTATAATAAAAAAGTTATAGTCAAGTCGTTCAGCCTGGGCGAATTGGTTTTGAAAATAGTACTCCCTTTGGATAGCAAAGATCCAAAGTATGGCAAGTGGTCGCCCAATTGGGAAGGATCATATAAAGTAAATAATGTGTTGCCTAATGGAGCCAATCATTTGGAAGATTTAGACGGCACCAAGCACATGATGTTTATTAATGGCAAATATTTAAAAAAATATGTTCATTCCTTATGGGAAAGTGAACAAATAAAAGCGTAATCAAATCGCGTTGAATGATCGTAGAGTAAAAAGGGCCAGAGCGAAATACGTTCAAATAAATTCCTTTATTATCAAACTTTCATTACAAAGCTGCAAAATACAAGATGCTAAATGCTCTATAAACTACAATTAAGAGCAAACTAATCTCCCGATCGATCATCGAGTAAAAGGGTGTACTGGCCTTGATCGCCATCCTGATCGCACTGCTGCAAAAGCAAGTAGAGAGGCCGAGAAGCACTCTTAGCAAGCAGAAAGGAAGATGAAGCGCCCTCACATTGCCTTCCTAAATGCATCGCTACAATGACGGGCAAGGAGGCTGAGAAGCACTCTCAGCAAGCAAGGTGGCTTGCAGGCGTCCTCAAAAATTGTCTTCCATCATCGAACTCCTTGTAAGGAACATGGAGACGATGGGAAAAACTTCGCTGACCAAAGAATATTTCCTATATCTCCCATACCAAAGGTGACATCAAGAAAGATGACCTTCATCTGTGCTGCCAAACTGGTCATCAAAGAGTTTTCAATCATGACTTCAGAAGAGATTTCTTTCAATTCGTCCTCAGCTTTGTTGATCTCCAGAAGAAAAGATTCTCTTTCAGATATAGCACGAAGATATTGAGTACTTTTGGCCTTCAGTTCAACATTTTTGGCCAGCAAGGAGAGGACCTCAGAATGGACAACTTTCAACGTCGCTTTAAAGTCAGCAGAAAGATTGAGCGACGGAAGTGTCAGTGCTTGCTCCAATTCCGCATTCAAATGCTCAAACTTATCCTTATATTTAGCAGCACTAGCCTGTCCGATGTCCATATCCACAAAGGACACATACTCAAATATCGACTGCTTGAGGAACTTCATATCTTCCTCTGAAGAAGTAGAAGGACGACTGGTTGAAACAGGGCGAGACGTTTTGACTTGCCCCCAAGAAGTGAACAAGTCCTGGATGGAACGCACAATCTTATCAGCATCCTGCAAAGAAAGTTGCCAACATTGAAGGTTTTCACTATAATGAACAAAGTGGAAGCAAAGATTACCTCATTAGCAATCTTGAGAGGTGGCATATCCCCAACCAAATCTACCACCTGTGGCTCCACCACTTGTGAGGACTTTTCCTTATCTAAGCGAGAAGACTTTGCCACAACAGGCAAACCCATGGGAGCATCTGCAGAACTCAAAAGGCAATGAATTAAAAACCAATAGCACAAGCAAAGGTAAAACATAAAAAATGTATTACCTTTTGGTTCGACATTTTGGGGGCTAACGCCCTGGAAAAAAGGTGGCTCATCCATTGGTTGTGATGAGGATTCTGGGACTGAAGGTTTCTCTTTAAGCGTAGTCCCTTTCATCAGCTTGTTTGGATGAAGCAGCCTCAGCAAAAGGTGATGGAGCAGGAGCTGCCAACACCAAAGCTTTCGAAGGAGAGGCTGAGCTTTTTTGAGAAATCCGAATAAACCATCAGCATATAGAAAGGTTTCAAGTATAGAAAGGTATGCTTGTGAGTAAACTAATTTAATTACCTTTCTCCTGACAATGAGAGGAGTGTCATCATCATCCTCCAAAATGGGGGATGCTGAGGCTGACTATTTGTGGCTTGGGATACTTTTAGATGCAGTAGGCTTGGCAGGAAGGGAAGTAGATGGACGAACAGACTGTTTAGTACGAGCAGAAGAGGAAGGACTCCTAATGGACAGAGGGGTGACCAAAACAGGGGAAGTGGAAGAAATGTCCGGCTGATCCAGTGAATGGAAAGCGCGATTGACATCAGTTGCAAACAATCTGCGCTGCACTGATGACCAGAGTTGTTCAAAAAGGGGATGGGTGGCATGGGAAGGATTGAAGGGGGCTAATAAAAAATTACTCGTCAAAAGAAGATTGCGAGCATTTATAGCTTCTGCCTCTGCCTTATTAATGGTGTGGAAGCGATCTATCAAATTTCTAGAATAACAAGGGGGAACAGGCCAAGTTTGACCAAAACCAAGTTGACGAGCAAAAAATTGGGGAGCATATATTTCAACCCCAGCTTTAGCATTGGTTTCAGTCAAAATATCATGGAACAACTCCCTCCCGATCAAAAACTGAACCCAAACAAGTAGAGAGGTGCTCGCGCTGTCCAGAGTGGATGGGGGTTGCACATAATCTGGAGTTAAAAAGGGAGGAAAAGGAAAGAAAGAAGGAATTGAATTCAAAGTATAAAAGAATGAAAAAATGTCTTTTCTGGACATATTTACAGGGCTCAGTGGGCCAATAGCTAGCCCATAGCAGTTAGCAGAAAAAGGGGAAATGGATAGAGCACCAAGTGATGGAAAATATGCTCTCAACCACATTTGAGTGAACCAAAGAGGCCCACTGCCAGCGGGAGATGCACCATTCTTCAGTTGGAATTGGAGAGAAGCAATGCCTCTATAGAGGGCAATCAAAAAGAAAGAACACAAATTCAGGGGCCTGCCACGTGCCAATTCGTGCGCTATAGGTAAATAGCTCATAGAAGGCTTCATGCTTGGCATACACAAAACATATTTACAAACCCAAATCTGAATAAAGGCCATACGCTCAGCATGGGAAGGCTCAGCACTCGAGTGATTATAACAGCTTTGCAGGCTTGAATAGGACTCAGTGAGTTTTCTGTCAAATTTTGGGGCGACACCAGAAATCAAAATTCCAAGGAAAATGGTATCGCCCAAAGGTGGCAAATTTACTAAGGCCCCAACATCCCTTAAAGTAATGGACATGAGACCAAGAGGGAAAACAAAAGTATTATACTTAGAGGACCAAAAACTTAATGCAATAGGGAAAAGCGCTGAATCAAAAATAGGGGGTTGAAGAGAGATTTCTAACAAATCAAAAATCCTAAAAATTGCTTTGGTAAGACCATGGCCCACAAGGCGAGTATGCCATCTACGGAAAACAATATTAGATTTAGGCCAAGTGCGAATACCTCTTTCACGAAGCAGCCTCAGCGGCAAAGAGTTTAGAAGCGGAGGGCCTTGAGTACAAGAGAACAGTTGGCCCACCGCCACTTTTTCAACGGCCTCGGCGTTGTTGAATGAAGGTCCTAAATAGAACTCATTGAGTTCGGCATTGGCTGGTGCGAGGAAGTTCGGAGTTATATATGGCCAAGTGAGGATCTTTTGGAAGTCTTCAAAACTGAAAGAGTTGCCAGATTGGGATTGAGAAATAGCCATTAGGAATGAAATAAAGTTTTGTTGAGGTTTGCTTGAGAAACGTAGCAGAGAAGCAAGAAGATGAACAGTAATATTGCGAGAGAGAAGTGCAGAACAATGAGGCGTGATTTAGTAGTGCGATAAGATGACGTGTATTTGGGGGTTATAAGGGTTTGCAACATTGCACCTTTTCAGGCTATGGAAGAAAATAATGATTGAAATTCTTGAAAATTTCAAATGTTGATGGGAAACACAAAGTGAATATGGCAAAAAATTAATAATTAGTATTAATTCTGCCATATTGGGGGGTAATTGTTGACATGCTAAAAGTGCAGCCCAATTCGAATAGCCCAAAGAATGAAGCCCAACTGGGCAATTCAGAATGAAGGCCCAAATAGGGTTATTAATGAATGCAGTGGAAGCCCACGAACACGGTAACATCATCGCCCAAACTTACAAGACGCACAGGATCTGAGCGAATGAAGTGTCTTGTAGTCGCACAGAGTTATGACCATGTTCTCGCCCAAACTTTCGAGTTGCCCAGGATTTTAGCAAACATGATATGTTATGGTTATCCAAAAGTACAATTATCGAAGCAGTTATTGGGTAATCTTATTACGTTCCACGATTCAAGGATGTTCAGTTGAGGACGGTTGAACGACAAAGAGTAATGGCAGCAGTTAGAGACGACAGTTCCACGATAAGTTGGCCACCATGAAGAAAGTGGACAGTTATAAAGTAATTAAGCGATTTCTAAGCGGTTGATCACAAAGAGAACATCAAAAGAATATAAAAGGAAGAAAAGACATAGAGCAAAAGACCTTGAATCAAACACTCTCAAACAGAGAATATATAATTTCAATTCCTTAGTTTAGACTTAAAATATTTCTTTTCAGTACTCGTGTACTTGCGCTCCTCGGAGGCATTTTGTTTAAGTTCCAATTGTAAAGTCACCGCCAATAAAACACTTCTTTTTGGGACTTTGTCTCAAAAGGTGTGTCCCTTACACAATCGTCTGATCCCTTTTTAATTGTTAGCGACAATCCGCGCAAAAACACAATGACTTCGAAACAGAAACGAAAGATGAATCTTGTAAGAAAAAGAGAATGGAAACCAGCAGGCGGAGGATTCGATCGGCTCCTTCGTCAGCGCATCGAGTTGAGCGAAAAGAAACATGCTTCTGCCGATCAATTGGTGGAATATCTTCGCTCCACCTACCGAGAGTACGAACGCCACAAGCTCCAGCCTTTCACTAAAGGGGTTCAGCAAATACTTGAACATATGGATGATCCTAATAATGAAGAATACGATGATGAAGGGATCCCATCGAGAAGAAAGAGGCCAGAGAAAGTTGAGGAAGATGAAGGGAAAACATGATTCATAGAAAAGCAGCAAAATAAAAAGAGGGCTGGGAGAATTAACGATGATTTTGAGAATGATATTGGTTCGTCATCCTCGTTAGCATCGGCTACTAATACCAGTACTTCGAAATCTGAATCGAACAACTCATCAGAGGAGGATTCTATTTATGAGGATAAATCTGAGCCCAAGTTTGATTTGATGAAGTCGATGCTGCGTGATAATTATAATGAAAAATCAAAGAAAATGGGGAAAGTGGGAGAAAATAAAGAGATTTTGGAAATGGAGGTTGTGAATAACCAAAACAAGGAGGTAAATTTGATGAACAAGAGACCTAAAACTGCGGATGACTCAATTGAACAAGGTAGTGGTTTGACTTTTATCAATAACAAAAGTAATGGCATTCAGGACAATAACACTAATGGACCATTGTTTAAGGATTTAGGGGGGAAGAGTGAAATATTGGAGAAGTTGACAGATGAGGTGATTTTTCCATTTTATCACCCACATGGGCCATGGGATGTTGGGGTGGAACTGATGTTAGGGATCTTGTTGTACGGGCCACCTGGGTGCGGGAAAACCAGGCTAGGAAATGCCATTGCCAATGAGACCGTTGTTCCCTTTTATAAGATATGTACAACTGAATTGGTGTCTGGAGTTTCAGGTAAAATTTTTTCTTGTTGCAGGTTTCTGCCCTTCAACTCAAATTCCATATGATGCGTCTATCCCTTGTTTTATTGATGACAATTTTTGTCATGACTTTTTACATATGATGCGTATATCCCTTGTATAATTTTATATAATCTTATCCTCCTATATGCTTATAGTGCAACAATTTGCCCAGTTTCAGTTTTTCTCTATTATGTGTGGGGGTTTCAATTATGGAATTGGTTTTGTTTCTGCATTTGTTTACACAATTTTCAAGCTTGCTGAGATGCTTTATTTGCAGAATGTTTCAGGCACATTAGAAGAAAATATCAGAGATCTATTTACTAAGGCCCAGAGGACAGCCCCATCCATTGTGTTCATAGATGAGATCGATGCGATAGCTACTAAACGAGAAATTTCGAATAGGGTAATGGAGCAACGAATAGTGACACAATTGATGTCATGCATGGATGAGTCATCGAGAATTGACAAGCCCACATCCGGAAGTGGGACCGCAGAGAGTTCGGATTGCAGGCATGTACTCGTTATTGGAGCAACAAATAGGCCTGATGCTATTGATCCTGCATTGAGGAGGCCTGGACGGTTTGACCATGAGATTTATATAGGTGTTCCAGACGAAAGTGCAAGGGTTGATATTTTGTCAGTCCTTACTCGAAATCTCAAAGTAGAAGGTGCTCTGGATCTTCTGAAGATAGCTAAGTCCACTCCAGGATTTGTTGGGGCTGACTTGGTAGCGCTCACTAAAAATACTGGCAATCTAGCCATGAAACGGATAATAGACCGACGAAAGGCTGAGGTTTCTAAAGAACCTGTAGAAGGGGTGCAATGGTGGAAG